TCTACTCTTAAATAAATTATTTAAATTTTCTTGTTGTAGTTTTAAGATCTAACTCCTATGTATTATTTAAGTTTCTACATTAGATTTGCAAGCATAGTGGATTTTCTCGTATTAGGGAATTCATGCGTTCTTTATGAAATAATAAAAAAAAAAAAAATTCTAACTGAAAATCACAGTAAAAATAATGGTATGTTCATACGTGAATCTTAAATCAAGCAAATTTATCAAGTAAAATACAATGTTTAATCTCTATAGACAATATAAAAATATAATAACTCTCATTAATATCTTCAAAATTTAAAAGGCTATTTCCACTCTCAAATTGTCAAGTGTGTACCAACTTCAATGCTTATTTGAATTCCCCATTGATTACTTCTATGTGAGGAATTTTTTAGAAGAATCTTTCCGTCTTTGTTGCATTTAAACAATTGAAAATTTCTGAGCCCAGGAATTATAAACATCCTTAGTAGTTAATTTTTGTTTAGTGTACTTGTTACAGGGTAGAACTTATATCATCAGACCTAATTATTATTTAAATTTCAACTACATGACCAGCCCTAAATATTGAAAAAAAATAAAAGAAAAGAAATGAAGCCTTATAATTAAGTAGCATGTGATTTTTCTTCAAATTGTTCATACCAAAGTCATCCTAATTGCTCATCTTGCATGTTACAGAACACTTAATTTTTTCACGATTTGGTGAAGAACCACCTAACATCATAACTTCAGGAAAATAAAATAAGAATCAAAACATTATAAACTCTTATACCTTTTGTCTACTTTTGAACAACCTTGTTTATTAAAGGCCATGGTTATCAAAGTATCAAGTTTCAAAGGAGTATATCATCACAACAAAACAGTTTGAGGACACGTATTATACACATATAAAAATAGACATGTACACATTCATAAGTATTTAATTTTTACAATTATTTTATTATTTCAAAAGATTTAAAAAAAAAATAAAAAAATAACACACACACACACATGGAAATATGTATGACAGCATGTGCAAGGATTATCCATCATATGGGACAGATCTAATCCTTTTATACTGCTGTCATACATATTTCCATCATAGTATAAAAAGAAAGAAAGATGGGATAACATTAGCAAAAACACACATGGAACCCAAACATTATAAGCCACTAAATGAACTCACGCAGCACACAAATTTCAAGTGGAACATGTCGGTGTGCGTGTGAGTGAGACACGGTCTTGGAACCCCACCCGCGCATATCCTGTCACCGTGACTCCCACAACGAGCGGCTTCAGGACCGCGCATCTCCGGAGGCGCGGCGGAGGCGCGGGATTCGGCTCCCGCGTCCCATGCGTGGGCTTAGGTGACCGCGAAACCCTAATTTTACAGAATGAGGACAGACGCGTGTTCGAAGCGGGTCGATGCTTCCGCGGAGATGCACAAATCTTCCACCGAATGCGGTGGATTGTGCGCAGCGGGAGTTTCGATTCCCAGCGAGGGTTTGGTGGGATTGTCGAGCTATGAATCTTGCCTTCTGGGTTACCCCGAACTGGCGCTGAATTTGGGCAGTTTCTAAGCCATGTCTCCCACGTGACGCCGCGCACGGCGTTTTGAATAGAAGGTCATTTTTGCTGTGCCTCACCTATAACTTTAAAACGTAGCGGAAAGTTGAGGTGGGGTGCGTACGTAGCTTGCCAAAGTGAGTTTTGAGCATACTTCATGCCACGTTTGAATTTTAAGTAAGGACAATACCGCAAGGTGGGAGCCGCTCACAAAAGGGTTGGACCGAATAGCGGGGGATTTGAAAGACTGACCTCGATGGACGAGCATCAATCTCTTCGCGAATTCGAATGCCCTTGACTCCATGACCTTGGCTGCACCGCCCTCTCGCAGGTCAGAGCCAGGGCTAGTCACACTGCGGGATACCCACTGTGCCTATATTCCTCGACCAGGGCTCTGTGATCTTTTGAAGCCCTGGCTCCGATTGCTTTTACCGGCATGCCTGATCCTCCTCGGCAGAAATGGTTTTGATGACCTTAATGTGCTTGCTCTAATGTGCCAGGCGGGTTTGATCTCAGGGGGTACAATCATGTCCTGTTATCCTTCCATGGTGCCCTTCACCGAGTGCCCGCATTTATCTCAGATTCAGAGCACCTCTTTTGCGATGGTTGAAATGCAAATAAATAAAATAAAATGGGGCTCGTCTGAATGGTAACAAAATCTCGGGAAAGCCTCGATTCGTGTTCAATCACTCGCCTCGTGAAAAGGGCAAATAAGAAGCACCAAGTTGCAGACCAAGGGTTCGACGTCATTGTTTTTTAGCAAGTAAACTTAAAGCTGCGCGCCCATTCGAGTGATTCCCTGCTTGAAATTCGGGAGTAGATGCCATAGCAGTTGTGCTTTTCCTATCAAATGTTTGTATCATTTTATATCTATGGTTGAGGGGGATCAATCCATCCATAGTATTTGGTCATTTGCTCATGGCACCTGCAAAACTTATTGGGTGGCCCATGCCTTTCTTTCTCCCTTTCTTTCTTTCTTTTTCCTCCGTTTGCTGTTCTCCAGATTCAGTGAAACGTCAAAGAATGGGTGCTCCATGCCGTTGTAACATCGGACAAACTCACCACTGTTTTAGTGCCCTATTTTAACTTAGCGACTAGCGCATGTGCACGATTCATCCTTTCATCTGCAGTCCAAGAACTGTTGAGCAACTGATCTCTCAAGCACATGGACAGTCATCGCTTCTGTCGTCCAATCGAGGGAACATTCTCGATGCCAGAAATGATTGAGTGGGTTGAGAACAAGGAGCTACGAGTGGCATTGTGGACAGAGGCGTTGGATGTTGTCCAATCCTTATACGTTAATTTTCTGAACACAAACGCAAACGAATTCGACTTAATCCCAATCGAAGCACATACAAACATTCTTAGACCAGCAAGTTACACATCATCGTCACACACCAGCGAATCTAGGGACTGGATGATACGGCTGCGTAAATGCTCAAGGCTTCGATCCATTGATGGCGTAACTTACTGCAGGGATAGTGGCACTGATCCTGCAGCTCCCGATGCAGATTCGGATCGAAGCACCTCCACTTTCGAAGATTGAGAATCACCGCAATTTCAGGTCAGATCTGTCTGAGCAGAAGCAGGGCTTCGTGTCCACAAAATCATCCGCATCTCACAAGTCATGGCGACAATACCGGATGGAGGCGCGGGGCGCACGGCAAAAGGAATGAAATGCCCCGCTTTTGCTGCATCCGTAACTTCCCACATTTCAGGTGCCGAAATTCCCAACTTCCCCCGACCTGCCTCCGCGTATCGAGCATTGTCCACTTCGTTTCTCACTCCTCGCACACCCACGTCAGTAAAACTCCGCCACCGAGGGTTTATTGAAACCCACATCGTATGGACACGTCGGTGGTCGGAAAACCAGTAACTCAGGAACTTGGAATTAGTCTTCCCATTCGGCTTTCGCTTTCGTTTCGATGTGATCCTTGAGGTAACTCCTCACACTAACTTTCGCCAATTGGCCGAAATAGGATGAATGTTTAGGGCCGTTTGAATGCCATTTTTATGACACTTCCTTGGTGTGAGCTTCATGGGGCTACAGATTCAGGTTTTTGTCACATAAAATAGGCTATAGAACATGCGCGTGTCAGCATTACACAATCTGAACCTCTGCACTGAGGTTTTTACGGCGTCGACCAAGAGTGAGTGGGTGAGTGAGTGTGTTTGTGTGTGGGGGTAAGTGGAGGAGTAAACATGACCACTGTGGGTAGTAAGATTAACCCCTGCTTTTTTAACATAGGGTATTGGTTGGGGCCTCAAAGATGGCCCCCAAAAGTCATGGAAAAGAGCTTGTGTACTGCCGCTGAGACTGGTGAAAAGAGGTGGCTCGGTTAGACCAGGACTGTTTGTGGACACAGCTCACACATATTTTGCTTTTCTCCACTGCACCATTTCTTTTTACTCGATTTGTGTTTGTTTACTTTCTACAGGGAGAAAGGTCTTCATTGTCAAATTGAATGATCTTAGTAAACATTCGAAGTGGAAAATTGTTACTGGAGAGAGGGAGGAAAATGGATGAGTGAGCTTTCTTGACGTTTCACATTACTCCTACATTGATTGCCAGTGCAGGAACCCAATTTTGCGGAGCATCGTAATCACCTCAAACAATGCATGGTTAAAAGGCCAGCGTGCGTAAACCATACCACATAAGTCATGGTGTTGTCACATCGAGTTACTGATCACGTTGAATTATGCGCAACTAAGCCCCCCCCCCCTTTGGTTCCACCTTGATATTTTATACAAAAAATTGGACACAAATGATATACAAGAATGGACGATGAGCCCAGTTGTGCATCCCGATTCACCGCACAGGTCCCCATGGGCTTTTAATTCACCGTTGACCAAGTTTGTTTGCAGGATGCGAAAGGAGTCAAAAAAAATTTGCAAGATTTTCTTCGTAACTGTGGACACATCCGAAAAGCATCAGTGCGTATTCCGGTCAAGGATATCTCTTGAATTTACCTTCGGCTTGCACTAATTGCGCTATCTGGGCCACTTTGATTAAAAGAAATAAAAATAAAAACAAAAGCACCTTGTGTGTTTAATTGTAGTTCTTCCGCTCTCAGGGTTGAAAGCAGCAATTTGATAAGTGAACCAGGGCGACTGAATATGGAGGCCTCGGTGGGGTCGCCCACAGTTGCGATCATCGGCGTTGAAAATGAGGGGCAAGATGTGAAAGGAATTTCTGGAAAGAGCTTGGCCTTAGCACACCCTGCACCTGCGGTCCGCATGCCTAACTGAAAGTGAAATAAAAAAAGTTAAAAAAAAAAAAACAAAGAAAAAAAAAAAGAGAGGAGAGAAAAGAATGAAAACACCCCTTAGCCCTTGCTCTGGAAGAGGCGTTCTAGAATCACAAACTGTGTGATTTCGGTTTGTTGTGGGTTTTTTTTATTTCTGGAATTTTGAGGTTGGAGAAAAGGAGGATAAGTAGTTGGGGTGGGCCGCGCCATGTGCCTTGGCCGCCTTCGCCGCCTTCACGGCAGCCTTGGACGGACGCTGGTCTAGCGCGGCTCTAGAATCGAGCCCCCTATTGTTTTCAAATGGGTAGTTTCTAGGGTGGCGATTGTCGCTCGCAGGTTTGTCTGCTGTGTTGGTGTATTAGGGAACGTTCACGGACCAGATTGTTGCTCCTTCCCTGATAGCCAGTCAGCCCATCTCGACGTTCCTGCTTGCGTCGAAGTCAGACCCGGAGTCCTGAGTTTCCGACGCGCTGCCGTGTTGAATGTATATTTTTATTCGTGAGTTGCAATCGAGGGCACCAACAGTTTGGAAAAGTTGGTTACTCCGCGGGGTGAGTGTGGTCGGTTTGTGAATCCAGTTTGTCCGATTTTCTTCTGGTGTTGCGGATCTAATAAAGGAGAAAATCCTATCGTTGTAAGTGCTAATGGTGTGGAGCGTTGTGAATCAGACCGGACTAGTCGTTTGACCTTGAGAACGAAGAAAGGGAGCAAAGATTTTGGCGTGCGAGATTTGTTGTTGAAGAAGAGGAGTTTGTTGCAGTGGTTGGGTGGTTGAGTGAGGGTTACTGGACAGGAAGGAGACGTTTTTTTATTCTTCTTTCTGGCATCGGAGAATATGGACGGAACGAAATCATCTCTGTCGGGGTAGCGGAGACTTTTCAGGTTAGCCAACCGTGTCTACGCTGCTTATGAATCAGTTGTTAGGATGCAATTCCGTTGTGCTGTCTGAGCATCAGGTCTCTTCGTTTGGGTTCTGTGTGAATTTTCCTTATGAATCGGTGGTTAGACGTTTTCCGTGCCATGCCCCCTCGCTGACGAGGTCTTCCCTTCCATATTTCCAACTCTGTACTAATGCGCCAGTGACTTTTTGGATACTCGCTCACCTTCGGTGGATTTCTAAACCAGCAAATGTAAACAATGGAAGTTAAACTTCGTGTAGCTTTGCAATATCACAATATCCTGGACCTTTCGGCCGTAGTACTTGTCTGTAGTCCTTGTCTGACTACTCGGAGATTTGTTCTGGAGGCTTTACCGATCACGAGCACCAATGTGCACTCCCTCATTGCTCCGAATAGTGCTTGGCGGTGAGAGTTGGGTACTGCCCGTCGGGAGACTCTTGCGAGTTATCCACGTAGACTTGAAAGATTCATATCAGACCTTCAGAGCCATATTCAAATTTTTGAGATCTAATTGGGAGTTCTAGTGGTTGGTGGTGTGCAAGACTCTTGTCTCGAGCTTGTTGTGAAGTTTTCAGTCTTGCTTCGTCTAGCCGTGGCTATAGCTTCCACCTCTAGCCGCTAAAGCCCCTTTTCAATTTTCAAATTTTTCTTTAGCATCGCTTTGTTGCATTTTTTGGCCTTGCTGTTGTGGTTGGGTATGTATCTGTCGTATCTTCCGGTGCGTCCACGCTCTCTTGGAGATTTCATGCATTCTAGAATAGTTTCGATTGTGCCCGTGCTCCTTGCGGCATCTCCGGGATTTCTGCGCTCCTCCCATTTCTCAGCACAATTGAACAAATTGATGTTTTAATTTCTTTTGGGATTTTCGGTTTCTCGTTGCTGGCCTGCGACGTTTCGAATAAGGCTTCTTTGCCATCGCATAATCATCTGTAAACTCCGTTCAGATCACCGTCCGACTTGCTTTTCGTTGAGGAGAATTCGAAGCGCTCTGTTGGTGCGTGAGCCATGGATACAATCGAATGCTGACCATGTTTTGCGGTTCTTCTTTCAGGGATTACCCACGCATTTCGCCTCGCGATTACGTGACTCGTGAGGAAGGAAGCTGGCGGACCCGGGTAATCAATGAATCGTTTCTGGTGCGAAGCGCGTGAGAGAGCAGCGTGGTCAGCATCACTTGAAACTTCTGGTTTAGATCTTCAGCATTGTGTAGTAACGGCTCATACATGCATCACAGAGTGACATCGCTCGCAACTAATTAGACTTGGATAGTATTTCACAATGGGGTGCACGGCGTCGAGAGAAAACGGGATCTCGATTCGGGACAGGGAAAGGCTTGGGAATCGGCGGAAGCTCAGTAAGAGTAGCTCCTTCACACCCTTGCGATCCTCGAAGCCTCGTGACTTGCACTACGATTATCATGTGGTCGCGCTCACGTCCAGCACGTATGGCCTCATGAAGCTGCTCGAGTCTGAGCAAGTGAACGAGCACTTGGTGTCTGTCATCGGCGGTAATGGCGCCGTTGATGAAGAACAGACTGGGGGCTACAGCAAATTACGGAAGTCAGACACTATGCCGGTTCGTGGGAAGGCGCCGAAGACGACGTGGACCGACATGGCGATGGCGACATGGAAACATAGCGACTCTCGGTTCAAGCTGGAGCAAATTCGGAAAAGCCAAATCGAGGCGAAGTTCCCGCTGAACCCGAAGGAGATGGAAGAGACAGTGGAGCCTTGCGAGACGGAGACGATCAACACATGGGAGCTCATGGAGGGACTCGATGATCGAACGCCTCTTGCATCACCGTTGCCGACCAATCCCGCTCCTGCGGTTCCCCCACCCAAGGATCTAAGCTGTGTAGGGGTTTTGCCTAAATTGTCCAGTATGCCCAGCTTCACCCGGTCGCGATCGCTCAACGCTGTCGATGGACTCTGGATCATGAGCAAGGCAGGACTTCCACACCCCGATCACTCCATCGACTCCAATTCGTCTGTGACACAAATTTCGACGAACCAAAGCTTCGATTTCTCCAACAGGGGCAGCATGGATTTCTCCAGCAGGTGGAGCATGGATTTCAAGGGGAGCATGGATCTCTCCAGCACGGGCATGCCTGTGGATTTCCCAGAACGGTGTAGTGGGTCACTCAACAATGCAGGCTTACAGATGGACATTGCACAGCACAAGTCGAGCCGTGAGGGGCTACTACCGAGTGGGCAAGTGATGGGCTTCCCGATGCAGCAGGATTCAGGCCAGTCTTTTCAGTCCACGATGTTTCCAACCGTTTCAGATGGTTCTCATGGCGACAGCAATTTGTTCGACCCGGACATCTTGGCCACCTTTCAATCTGCAGCCAACGAGGAGAAATCACCCACGTCTTACTCCGACGACGATTGGTGCCACGTCCGTCACCGCAGCGATGGGGAAGCATCCACATCCGGCAGCGTTGCAGACGACGACAGCAGCCCGATTCAGTGGTCACGAAGCAAGCAACAAACTGTGTTCAACGACACATCCAGCAGCATTTGCGACGGTGGCCGGGGAGATTTGCATTCAGGGACGTATGGCTCTCGCAGGACACGGCAGTCGGACTCATTCGCGAAGGTGATGCCATTCGACAACTTCGACGACAGCCATCTTCGGCCTCGCGTCAACCTCGACCCGCTCTACAAATACGAGGAGAAGTGTCCTCCGGGGGGCGATGATCGCGTCGTGCTCTACCTAACATCCCTGCGCGGCATTCGAAAAACATTCGAAGACTGTCACAGTTTGCGCATGATCCTGCAGAGTCACTCCGTGTGGGTCGACGAGCGCGACGTCTCCATGCACGCTGAGTTCCGTCAGGAGCTCAGGGATCTGCTTGATGGGCCCGTCATCGTGCCCCGGCTCTTCATCAAAGGCCGATACATCGGCGGGTCGGATGAAGTGCGCAAGCTGCACGAGGATGGCAAACTGAGCGACCTGCTTAGGGATTTCCCCGTGGTTCAGTTCCGGAAAGCTTGCGACGGCTGCGGCGGCGTCCGATTCGTGCCGTGCCCGGATTGCAGCGGCAGCTGCAAGATCATAACGGCGGCGAACGAGGTTGCTCGCTGCCCGGATTGCAACGAAAATGGGTTGATCAGATGTCCCGTATGCTTTTAACCAAATAATGTTACTAAAAAAACAAAACTGCGCAAGGGCGGCGATCTCTTCGCATCAAATTTTTCCTCGGGCATCGAAATATAATGTTCTCCGATGTTGGATCTGGCTGCCAATCACCCAACCAAATGGCTGGTCAAATAGATCATGTAACCTAGCCCTTCGAGTTTTTTCATGTGGGTGGACAAGAGTGTATATAACACGAAAACTATGCTCAGCAGTGTTGTTGATGGGTAGCGACTCACGTGGTAGCATACACGAGCAGTGTGTTTTTTTAAACCTGCTTCTCTCGTGGTCTGGATCCTTTCGCTGCGGGAGCCGGAGCGAGTGGGCAATCAGCGTTGGACTAGCGATGGTTTTCCACTTTACACCCCCCTGTGTACTATTTCCCAAATGAATACGATGCGTTTCTCTCTTCATGCATCGCCATCTCCCTCTGTCTTCGCTGTCATTGCTTGCGGTGTGTGTGTGTGTGAAGAACTCACTCGTTGTGGATTCCTTCAGTGCCGTTCATTGTCCGATGATCACACGATATGCTTTTTTGTAGTAGTGCCTGGTATTTTGCTTCTGTCTTGTGAGGTCTCACTGCAGCGGTGTGGAAGAGTTGCTTGGAACTTCCATGTAAGCGTGACAACCATGGGTGCAAGAATGCTTCTCTCTGGCTCCGCAAAAGGATGTCTGTGTTGCATCTTTTCGGGAAGAAAGTCATTCTAACTAGTCTGCTTATACTGGAGCTCAACTTAATGTAACCATACACAATCAAACTCAATGTTTTTTTAATCAGGTAGATCGATACACTGTGAGTATAAGTTGCAGCAGTTCAGATGTGTGTGAATATATATATATATATATATATATATATGTGTGTGTGTGTGTGTGACATTTTGTGGGCTTGAAATTTTACAAAGTGTACCCAGCTTCTGAATGAATTCATGCTGCCAGGAAGAGGCACCAGGCTACAATTAAAACTGGTGGAGCACAAGACCACTGAACGGAAATTGAATAGTAGTGCAAAATTTCAGTTTCATTCACGTTGCAAAAGGAATTTGTCGAAATTACATCTTTTTGTATGTTGTTTTTGTTATTTTTGTCTTCTCGGTAGGATGTTCATACACAGTATTGATGACATCATCTGTAACCTGCATTATTTGTTTCTTACGTTTTCATTGATTTCCTGTTGATCAAAAATCAAAGTTTAGTTTGATTTTTTGTTGTGATAATAAACATGGATTATTGGGTGAATGATGTGGAACATGATTTCTTCGTTTAAGCAGATCGTGTGAAGAGTTTGGATTTTTCTTACAATTCAATCTGGGATTTCATTCCTTATCTGACTTTAATGAGCAGTTACTCAAGTCCATGAGAGATAATTGTTTTGCCAATTGCATGAACATGGAAATGTAGAATCTACGTAATTCTCAAAAAAAATGATTGAAAATTCGAATAAAAATTGAAAATTCAAATAATTCAAATAAAAAATAAAAATTCAAATAAAAATTGTGCATCATCCTGTAATGTATCAATTCGGCAGTTGAAGGACAACGTTGAGAATAAATTAATAACATGACACTAACTATTAAAAATTGAAAGTTTCCTCTTTTCAATTTTTTTGATTAGCAATCCTTCAAACTTCAAAGCTGACCAATACAATAATTACATTATGTATAAGCAATAAGTGTCTAAACGTGATAATTTAAGATACATTCTATGGAGTGAGAATATATATATATATATATATATATATATATATTTCATTTAATCGTCCATCCATTCATTCATCAAGTCAACATAGAGAATCAAACTTTTTGCAAAGTCAATGTAGCTTGATTCATTGATTCATGTGTAATTGTTAAAAATGCTGCAATGACAATCCATTACTTAAATTGCCTGTAGATTTTATTTATTTATTTATTTATTTATTTTTTTTATTCAGCCAAATCTTTATGACATTTAAGTTCAAACATCATACGAAGAAAACTCTTGTAAATAGAACCATGTTTTATTTATTACATCTTGTCTTCAATAATGTAATATAGTTATTTATTAAATTCAGATTCAAGTTATAAAATATATATATTTATTTTTAATTTTTCTTTAATACTGTACAATAATTGATAATTCACACAAGTTTGTAGCAATCTTTAGAAGCATTCAAGCCAAAAGATTGAACATTACTAGCATAACACAAACATCACCAAAACATTTTCATAATCTATGAAATACATTTACTTTCAAAGACTCGCCCACACCAAACCTTGACCAGAAATTGTTTCCCGAAGTAATTTTCAAAGGTGCCAAACAAACACACACACACATTTCTTCAAAGGAATTAAAAAAAACCTTTAAGACGATGAAGGGGTGGCACAATAGCAAGCAGAAGATGATGAAAAAGGCGACGCTTCCAGTATTAGATGAAAAGAATCCACAAGTATTATCTAAAAAGCAGATATAATACAAATAATATAATAAGCAAATCCATATATATAGAGAGAGATCTTATTTTAAAAAGTTCATGTTTTTTTAAAAAAAAATCTTTTTCCGGAATCAACAACATTCCGTCGGGTCATTTTGAAACCCATTCTTTCTTTCTCTTTCTGGTTCTCTTTTCGCAACTCTCTTTGCCTTCAAGGTCCAACAACAACAACTGGGTGTGTGTTGTTCACAATGTGGCCCTTTCACAATGAGATGCCCATTCTTTTCCATTCATCCATTCCTCTTTCTTCTCCAGAGTTAGGCTCATTTTATATATATGTATAATATGCACATTTCAAAAGTATATTACAAGGCAGTATTACAAAATTGATATCCATATCTATATATATATATATATATATAGTAGTACTGAATTAATTAAGAATGTAACAATTTTAGTTCGATACAAAGGCATGTAACGTGTATGTATATATATATAAATATATACATATATAAATATATATAAATATATATATATATAAATATATATAAATATATATATATATATATATATATATATCCAAATGAATATTTTATAACTATTGTATTTTATTTTTTGAAATTTGAACTTATATATCCTGGTTATTATTTAATAAACATATTAGCCTCATAAATGTATAGATATATGTATACCAAACATGTTTTATGTAGGTATTGTCATTGTAGTCAAAATAATTCTAATTAGTGTTACACTTATTGCTAACAATAAGTGGTAATTTTAAGTATTTGATTATAAAATCTACGATCAAGCTATCATTTAAACTAATTCTAAACTATTCTTTACATTCAATTCATATATGATACTTTATTAAATTTTCATTTGATAAAAAAATTAAGTTATAATAAAAAGATAGATGGTATTATTGGCTTGTGATTGCATTTTACTATTATGAATATTGATGCTAATACTAGAATCACTACTCCAACAATTGCCACTCCTAGAAACCTCATAACCACTTCCAATTACTCAATATTTACTCTCTAGAATACTAATGTTTTAATAGATAATGAGACGAGGGAGAGAGAGATTTCTTTTATCTAAACCTTGTAGTCCTTGAGGAACTCATACACCACCTCCTTTGTAGCTAATATAAGAGACAAGCTTAAAGTCATCCATAGTATTTTTCAGATCTCTTTCATGATATGATTGTGCTTTAAGATTGTCGAATCTTTTTACACTTGGTAATACCTATTTAAGTTTCATAATGTTATATAAACATAAATGTAGTTTTTCTCTTATACATGTTAATTTTATAATGTCAAGTGAAAAAATGTATCTTATTGAATAATTTAGGATTTTGAATAGGATATAATTTTAAACTTGTAGTTGATTCCTTTTAATGTTACATTGTGCCTAAGATGGAACAAATTCACTACAATGTTAAACTTGATTAAAGATTGAAAGAACCAATTTAGAATCATTATATATAGTTTTATTTTAGTAATGATTTATTTTTAAGTTATAATTACCTTTAAAAAATAACTATTTTTAAAGTTCAATCATAATTCATATAATTAAATTTAGTCTATTTTTAAAATGACTCAAAATCATGAATTTGTTGTCAATTCTTATTGTGCAATGCTTCAATTCTATATTATATTATATTATATTTTATGAATTTTCTTCAGGAGAATTTGAACTTTATACTATGATAATCTTTTATTGTTCAGATTTACATTTATACATTTTTTTTAGAAAAACAGTATTTTTAATCACTGATTTTAACTTCAAATTACATTGATCAGTTTTCTTTGCTTAAATTTTTTCGAAAGTAATTTAAAATTATATATATATATATATATATATATATATATTCCATCGTATATTTTTCAAATGAATTAGTGAATTCATTTATTACTATAAGTTCAAAGTTATACAGGTAGACGATATTGTATTTTTTTAAAAAAATTGGTCATTACCCACTTGGTAGTTGACCCACTTGCCCACTTAGGTTTTTAATCACATATTATATTTTTTTTTGAAAACGACAAGATAATTAGAAAGAATTACATCTTTGGATTACGAAATAACAAGAATATTTAAGATCTCCCTGTAAAATAAATATTGATTTGAAAAACTTGTGTGATTGTGCCAAATCCTTATGTATTTTGATTTTTGTATGTATGTATGTCTATATATATATATATATATATATATATATAAATCTTTTTAATTTTTAAAGTTTATGGTTTTGTTTGATACAGCTGAAAAATCACACATAATTTAAGTGTTCTAATTCTTTGTTTTATTGTTTTGTCATTAGACATTTAGACACTTGTTTTATTTTATATTCGTCAATATTAGTAATAAAGTATAAAGATATATGAATGTATGACAAATATAGATTAAAATAAATGTACGATTGATCAAGTGTATGGCTGCAAATGGTGAAAATTTATTATTTTGAATAAGATTGGTTATATCTTGATAGTATATAAAGCATTTATTTATACTACTTATATTCTAAATACGAAACTTTTATTATGTTTTTGTGGTCATTTTTAATGTAGTATTTCTTCATATTTAAACATTATAGCAAACACAACACAAAAAATACTTCTAATTATTCTTCTATTTTAACTTGCTACTAACAATTTTATTAAAGATATAAATCATTATTTATTATATTAAAAATATTTTAAAATAATAAATAATCATTTTATTGCATGAAATATTATTTTTTCTTCTGCTGATACAAAGTTAGTCACAGATATTTATGTTACCATATATTTTATAATGAATAAATAATTATTTTAGTGGTTTGAATAGTATATTGATTGCATGTTACACTTTAAAACAAAATAAAACAAACTTTTTTGATCTTAGTTTCTAACAAAATATCATGCTAATAGAAACCTAGCATATATTTTCCAAGATACACCCTCAATTAGACAATATCCATATTTTTTAAATGCTACTTATTACGCAGTTGCCATATCTGAGGTTACAATATTTTGCTGAGATTAAATTATAAATGACGCCCATTGTTATGAATAAGAACGTTTTTTCTTTTTTCATCATAGAGTAATTGTAGCACAAAAAATGAAATGCATAAATTATACTTCCCATGTTATTTTTTATCTATCAAATATATGATAACAATTTACCATCTATAATTTGTTACTATTTTATATACTTTTTAGATTTTTTTCTATTATATAATATATTTTTGATAATATTCAGTTGTAAAATTTTTAAAGTAAATTAAATCATTATTTGAAGAAAATAAATATATAAAATTAAATGAATTGGATATGAAAAAACTCATTATCTTAATAAATATGAAAATCATAAAAAACAAAGTTGCTGCAAAGTAAGTGCTATTTCTTTTCTTTGATCATGGTAAATTACAATAATTTTATAATTTTTATTTATTAAACTTACCGAAATTTCTACTATGAATAATTTTAATAGACAAGTATAAGTACACCTGAAAAATAAACTGAAATAAATTAAATCTAAGTGTAATTAAAAAAATAATAATCTTTTAAAAACTCTAACACCAAATTTTTATATGATTTTATTTATTTGACATCCTATAAACTATATAAATTAATATAGAGAATACAAAACTATTTTTTTTCAACCTAATAGTGAGTTTTTATATTAAAACTATTCTAGACATCATTTCTTGATAGCATTAAGTGATTTTTTTTAATTGTGAATCCAAAAATTTGCTTTATTATTTAAGTGTTTTTAGATTTATAATATCATTTAACATTATACACTCTATAGAAAATTTTAAGATATATTAAATAATAATATTATTATTATTGTAGAGAGAATATAATTTAAAAAAAATATTTTTTATTTTTAGATTTTAAAATATTCAATATTATAAAATATTACTGTTTTATAATTTAATAAATATGTTGTATTTCTAAAAATAATGTAATATTAGTTTATAAACTTATTACATTGTTTGGAATATTTGAAATTTTAATTTTATAAATAATTTGAATATTTTTACAATGTTTTTTATATTAGATAATTTTACCAAAATCATGTATGTAATGTTATAATTATGTAAACTATTAAACTATAATTTATTAAATATAGTACCAAAATTAATATTTATTTTAGAAATTAAACTAAAACATATATCAGTCACTTAACATAAAACAAGATATTAACACGCTATTTGAATTAATTTGACACTCAATTGTTTTAAGCCATGCTTGTTACAACATATTCTATGTATTTTTTGAAAAAAATATTGTATTGATTTAAATTTTCTTTATTATTTTCTTTTAAATACAACTCAACCCTCTAAAATAAAATAGATTAACAAAATTATTATGATTAATTGTTTTCAAAGTCTAAATAATTTTGAGTAATAAACAATGTGTCAATAAATTCTTTACATAGCATCCAACATTTGTTGTATAATGATTATATATATATATATATAGATACATACATACATATAGAGAGTGGGAGAATATTAATCTCAAGAACAAATGTAGTTTCTGAGGCATTCAATCATTACATCCTATATTTACACACACACACACACACACACACATATATATATATATATATATATAAGACATTATTTTTCTATAAAAAATACATTCACAAAATCTTTAAGTAATGGAACTGATTTAGATTGATGATTTCAAATAGATAATGTTTAATAGTATTCTTATAATTAAAATATACGTGTATTTGAAACATAAAAAGCTAGTATCAATAAACTTGATTACACCACACCCAATAAACTATAACTATCTAAAACATTATACAATTGCTTTTTTATATGTAAAACGATATCAGGTGGTTATATCTGAGATCTCTAACTTAATTCTGAAACAAACTTATTAAAATAAAGTTTAAGGTTCATTTTCGTTTATGAAATTGTTGACAAATATTTTGTTAATGTTGCTGTAAATTACAACCCTAAATGATTCTTAAAAAATAATAAAAAGTAAAATAGCACCAATATTAATGTTGAATTACTAAGTAAATTGATCTGTTGAGAGTCAATCTACAATTATGTATACGTGCTTATTTTTTATTTTTTATCTTATGTGTTAATTGGATATACAAGTTTCAATCATCAAAAATTTGTATGTTTTTTTCTCAAATATCATGCCAATCTGATTTTATAATGCTATTGTACTAATTCACAGTATAATCAACTACCTTTTTTTTAAAAAAAATTTAAAAAACAGAAGTAGCAAGTCATCAAGTTTACCAAAGATTTCAAGAACTTATAATAAAAAAAGGTAGAAATTTCAAAAGAAATTAATTCATTTTTTAATTACTTATTACCCAATGAAGATTTGCAACGCAGACAATAAAATAAATGAATCAAACTCGAAGAATAATGCTGAATTTTGCAAATCTAAATCGAGCATGAATTGATCAATTGAATAAATGGATTTGGCTCATTACAATTATGTAGTTTGCTAAGGTACATTGATCAACGAATTATTAGTTTATTTTGACAATATCACAAGTAATTAATGAGCAATAGAACTCAATTATTACGGTATCGACGTTGATATTGTTCTTCTTAATTGTGAAAATGTATGTATGGAATCTAGAGTGGTGAAGTGTCCATGAGTGACAAATAATACCACATCGAAGCCTATTCATTCATTTATTGGTTTCCCTTATGAATTTAATGATCAATTTTGCAATGAAAAAACAGACCTCATCGAATCTTTCATTACAATACTACTACTACTAAGAATAATAATAATAATCATAAACACAGCATTGACTCACACCGTTGTTCATTACACCCAGTCAATAAATCCTTTAAAAGGTTATTTATTCACTGATTTATTTATTTATTCTCCTTCACATTGTCATGCCGAAGACTTTTCATCAACACCTAACACAAGACTTCCCTGTATACACACACACACACACCAGAGAATTCAAATTTCGAAAGCCTTTGAACATTTCCAGATTCCAGCAACGGAACAATTGCCCCCCTCTCGCAATTGAGGGAAAAACAAAAACCAAAAAAATGAACCAAAAGAAACTAGAAACAAACAAACAGAGAACCGCCGTCTTGGTAATGGAGCCCACTGCAACAAAGACGAAGATGGTCCAGAAAGACAGACGAGAAAAAAGAAGAAAGGTAAAGAAATTCGGCGCAGACAGTGAGAAGGCGGTAGGGCGAGGACGACGAGGAGGAGGAGGTCGTGGTGACGAAGAGAATAACAGCAACAACAACACCAACATCATCATCATCATCGAGGTGGAGGTGGACGGAGGACGGAAAGAGGGAGGAATCCATGGCAGCAGCATGAGAGTGCGAGCGAGCGAGGGAGAGTCCGCTTGCAGCAGCAGCAGCATCAGCGAGATTACTCCATCTCCGAGCAGGAGAAAAATCGGTTCTGCACTGCCCTTTAAGAGAGTGCTCGCATTGGTCCGGCACTTCTACTGCTGGGTTGGTTGGTTGTTGTTGTTGTTGGGGGCTGGTTCCTGGTTTCCAGGTTGTCTAGCAATCCTGCCTGCCTGTTTGCCTCCATGTGGCTTTCCCCCCCCTCGCCCCTCATCCTGCGCCGCCTTCATCGTGTTACCCACCCCCACACATCCCGTTCCCTCCCTCCATCACGCTCTGATCCCCTCCGCCTCCCCCACCCCATCCAACTCACTCACTCGTGCTCTTGCTAGTTTTCAGCTTGTTTCGCCTGGCGGAGTAGCCTTGGTCGCCGGGTCGATGATCAGAGCCTAATCGAAGTCGCACTAGTGAGCGTGGTGATGCTTTGCGGGTTAGATCCAGCACGGAAGAGAAAGAGGTGGAGGTGCAGGTGGAGCAGAAGCTTGGTTCTCGGGGTGACGCGGAGGTTGGAGTCGTTGAGAAGAGTAGATCTAGGTGTTGCACTAGGTTTGTATTGCACTGCGGAAGGAATGTGTTGTTGATGAATGCGTTCAGTTGCGCTGTGAGGGGATTGGTGTTGATACCTGCTGCCGCAGTGTTCGAAAACTGTGGGTGGATTAGTTGAATCGGCGCATTGGGTTGGTGAGCGTTCGCGAGGAAGTGCGGCGGAGATGCATCAGTCGCGACCTGGCTGCAACATGCGCGTGCTCGCTATTGTGGTATCCATCAGACTCTTTCGTGGTGACTAGGTGTCTAGATAAGACCTAAGCATTATGGAATAAGAATGTTTGACCTTGCATGATTGTTTTTGTGCCAGCCTTCTGGAATTTCCAGGTTTTTTTCCTTCTTCTGTCTATTCGAATCTTTCAAGGCAACGCGAACGTTTAATTTGTGAATGTTGACATCATTGCGAATAGCTTATTGTAACCGTCGTGCATGCAATGTTCTCAGATAGTATACAGATGCAACAGGTTTTAACTTCGTAACTTTCTTCGTAATCCTTCAGGTTTTCCGTGGGACCGAGCGGATAATTTGCAAACCTTTGTAGACTCGTTTCTTTTTTCTTTTTTCTTTTTCTTTTTTTTTTGCTTCTTTTAAATTTCTGGTTCAAAGGTCTGCTGCCTGCGGGACTGGAGCATGGGCTTGAGATATGTGGGTTACGAAGAGGTCATGAAGTTGGTGCTTTCAATGGGAAGGAGGGCGGAGTTCATGTGGAGGGGAAGTAGAGGAAGAAGGTAGAAGTGAACAGTGATTCTTGATGAGGGTCGATTTGAAGTAGACATCCCATTTGAAGCTTGTAGGCAAGATGTGCCCCATGTGTGAGAGAAGAGCGCAGCTGCTGCTTCAGCAGCAAGCCGTTGTGGAGGCTACCTCCGCAAATAAGGAAACAGGTACTTTCCACACGGGAGGAAAATCTTACCTCTTCCGAAACCCCTTTAAGACATGCAAGAATTTGACCTACCAATGCTGCTCACCGCTGTGCGATAGCCACCGGACGTCGATTGCGTCTGTGCGACCATCTCCTACCCCGGAGAATTCCGATGAGCTAAGCCTGGATCTCCGAGATGACATCTACCGCGTATCGGAGTCGCCTCTCAGTGCGGAGCCTCTGCAAACGAAAGAAAATCAACCTCCAGAATCGAAGACTGCACAGGTAGCGCCTGAACCAGCAGGAGAGCCAGTAGAACCAAGGAGGAAACGGAGAGGGTTGCTTACGCGGCTGAAGCTTCTCACCTATGGCGTACCGCTAGAGGAGCCCATCAAGAGTTTGGATCATGAGTCGAGTGGCACAGATTCTAGCTTCACAGCTTGTGCGAAGAAGGTCATAGCCGTGGCGGAAGATCTCGACCATGGGGAGCATCATGTCAGAGAAATCGCCTTCGAACCGGCCTCAGTAGCAACCTTTTTGGCTGCTGAATCGTCCCTGGATACAATCTCCGAGGACAGCTTCAACGTGTCAGAGTCGAACATCTCTGAGACGACTATGCTCTCCATGATGAATATGAACGGCAGCTTCAGCTCCCCGTTTGAGCTCTCCCACCGGGGATCAACGCTCAAGTCCAGTACATACGACGATGACGCGAGTACCTTTGCCATCGTGCCCCGCACTAGTTTGCAATCGAGCTTCATTCACGAATGGGCGAGTGATGCGAGTGGGCTGTCGGATAGGTTTGGGGAGCTTGACATCGGGTACTTGTCGCTGGAGGAGAGTGGAGAAGGTCCCGATTTTGACGATACCGTGTCTATTTCTTCGTCGCAGCACGATGACTTGGACTTGCACATGCACCCTCAAGGTATCTGCACACTAGCATTTGACTCATCCTGCGATGGCTTATGGATTGTAGATGTAGTGCATGTTTAAGTTTTAGGGTTACTGCGCCTTCACCGTCTCCGTTTGCACGCCTAACTTGTTGCGTTCTCTCATCGCCCCACAGATGACGTGGTGTCAGAGTCCGACTTAGATCAAGATTACAGCATCGGCACGGACTCGCAAGAGTGGTGCACGGAAACTGAAGATGCGGCATCGTTGTTGGACCGATCCAGAGGTCATCACCGAACTCGTAGTAAAAACCACCTCCACCTCCACCTTCCTGACCTTCGAACCACGCCCCCTCACGATATCTCCCAACCAAAGGATGACGATCTTCATCTTCCAGAGCTTCAAGCCACACCACCCCACGATCTCTCCCCGCCTCCGCTCCCAATGCAGCAATCCAGGGACGTGATCAAAGGAGATGTTTCACTAAAAGAAGATCCTGCTCGCCATGAGCCTGACGCTGCACAGGCCAAAGTCGAAGAAGGTTGTCCACCAGAGAAGAATGCGCTTCGGCCGGAGACAAAGTGCACGGAGTTTTTATGCTCACAGTGCGGCCGCAAAGAAAAGAGGGTTGAAGTCCAAGACCAGCAACGGCCATCAACGAGGTCGGTGATTTCCAAAGACAACCCCATGTCAGCTTACTTCCACAACATGGATGGTTCCAAACGGGCCCTGATTGCAGACAAAGTGGTGGTCCTCTTGGGCAAGTATGGCAACCGCAAGGGACTCCGAGTGGCGGGATTCTCACCTGGGCGGAAGGAGTCCCACGACGAGGTCGCCCTGTCTGCGAATGAGCTCGACAGGCTGCGGAGCATGATTTGCCCCAAGAAAGACGCCGTGACTTCGTTCCAGAGCGAGGTTGCGCGCATGATGCTGGAAGGGGTGGACGCGCCAGACCTCAACATGGACGTAGAGCAGTTCATCGCGGGCTACATGAAGCTGAACTCTCCGTTCTACATCGATCTCATTGAAGACTTCTTCAAGTCTGTCTGCATTGATTGCTTCGGCCACATGGGGGCAGCCAGGAGGGCGAAATCCAGCCAACAACGCCCTGCATTGACTGTGCTGAAGCCGAAGCGGGGCACCAAGAGTGCTGTGAAGAACACAGGCAAGAGATAGATTCTAGGGGACTTCAATCAGTTGATTCCTATGGCTATCTTCGGGGCCTCTTCGACAAAGATCTCTAGACTTCATGATCCCTGTACAGATTCATTTTTTCAACTCCCCCTAAAAGATTTGTCCAATTGTTGAATTATTGTCGCCCCATGGCTTGTAGAATAATGTGGTACAACGGTCCGTTGTAGGTAATGGTAGCGAGGTGAAGGACGCTCGAGTCTTCCGCCAGGATGCACATTTTGATGAAAAAAACACCTCCATGCAGGCTGGGTCCAGCCACAACTTCGATTCAAGTTGTGTTGAAATAAATGGCCTCCATGTCACATCTGCAATTCCAGTTTTTGCTCAAGGTTGTCCCTTGCTAAGTCTCTTTATTCGGTGCAATTGATTGTCATAGCGTCTTGTCATCTCCCTCAACACAATCCCTGCTCACTACTTTCAATTACTTTTCACTCAAGATAACAGTAACCTTCATTTTTAACACAAGAGAGCGACTTTTGTTAATGATCCCACCTTCACCAGGTATCCTGTTTTCTAATCTCAGCACCTGTACTGGCACCCAACTCAATCAGAAGGCTGAGGTGGTGCACACATTCTGGAAATGTGACAAATAAGCATTTGTAGTTGCTTGCGGTGATGCCTGTAACACCAACATGGAAACCCCATCTCTATCATCTAAATATGTCGCCCTCCACCACCATCGCTTCAGTCTTACCTGGCATGTACCCAAATTAGAAAAAGTTCTGCAGACTTCTACTTTGCTTGCGGCTTGCAATCCGTGGCTAGTGTTAATGGCATGCGGTTTTTCTGAGAAACAAGGTCTGTCTCCCTTGCATGGAGTTTCTAGTAAAATCTTCGTGCAGATGCTGCTGCACATGAAAAGAGCAAGCTATGAGGTGCCCACTTCAGTGCTTTTATAAGGGCATCATATATAGTCATTGTGGCTTGAAATAAATCGAATGCCAGCTCCCACGACGTAAAGATCCAGTATAACAGACATATATATATATATATATATATATACATACACATACTCTCTCTTCTTCAGAGTGGCCCGTTTAATCGAATAAGTCTCGAATTCACAGGACCACGCCCAAACTGCACCTGGTAGATGAATGTATGGATGGAATAAGCTTCGTGTTATTCATTCATCCATTTAGTCTTAGAGCTCTCGATGCCATTTTGATGTTATGTTTTGATACTTATAACAAGAATGAATGACATGACTAAAGTGGAGCTTTGCCAAATATAATCTAGGCATCTCTACAATCTTACAAGCTATAGATTGCTTTGCAAGAAATTTGTGTACAATTTAATTTTAGGATCAGTACAAATTTTGACTTTAAAGTCTATTTTGAATGATTTTTAATAATCTATTTTTCATCTTTATTAGATGATGTGTACAATTTATTTATTTATTTATTTCTAATTGTTCGTGTTCATATTATTAAGTTTTAATTTTTGTTTAAAAAATAGCATAACAGATGTTGGTAAATTCAATATTCAACAATGTCTAATGTAATTTATTGTTGTTGCTTGGTGAAACAAAAACTACTCTATGCAAAATATGCAAGGATTAATTAGTATAATTTTAGGTCCTTGTTGGACCATAGACCATGTGATTGGAAATCTCCAAATCTAATTAAATATTTCAAATTGTTGGTGTTAAAGCCATATAGCAACATACTTAGTGACAAATGGGAGCTTGTATTTTAATAAATAAAAAACAAATGCAATTTATATATGCATTTATTAAAGAGAACACAATCACTTTAAGTTTAAAGAATTTAAACAAAAGTTATCATTATTATAAAAAATTTCAAGAGAAAATTAGATACAATGTTTTTAAGATTAATACAAGAACAAAATGACTAAGGACAAAACATTTACATTGATTTTTAGAATGTTCAAGATTTATTTATTTATTTATTTGTTAGAATATTTTTAATGTTTAATTTTTATTATAATAAAAATAATAATTTTATTATTATACATTTTAGCTGTAGTTATGTTAAAAATATTTATTTACTAAAATTATTGTTATAAAATGCATAAAAATTTGCACCTAATTCTAAATATTCATGTTGATAGTATGTAATAGTAGATTCTAAAAGACATTGGATTAAATATAATGAAATAAAGTATTGATTGTGTATTAATTTTAAACTTTTTAGGATGTGTTGAATCAATAATTCATTAAACTGAAACTATTTGTGATAGTCTTAGTAAATATTCCAAAAGAAAACTACATAGACAGACACACATTTACAACATTATATACTTTTACTTGATATATAATTTTATTACTCATAAAATTTATTTTTAGTTCTAATTCAATCCAGACAGTTTTAAAATTTTAAAATTTAAATCTAATTTAATCTTTGGCTTATAATTAGACATTGAATATTTGTATATCTTTTTTTAACAATAAACTTGCAAATAATATTTTTTAAAGATAATTTATACTTAAAATTTTAAATCTATTCATAGAAATTGCTGAAAGCAAAACATCATTTAAACATAGAAACTACTACTATCGAAAGAAAAATAATTAGTATTAGAGATTTAATATTAATCATTAATATTTGATGGTTTTTTACTAAAAAAATGTTGTTGTTGCAAAATCTTCAGATTGTTTGTGTATTTACATTGAGCACAATGTAAATAATTAAATTAAAAATTAATAAATTAATAAATTTCTAGAAGCTGCATCCAAAATTTTCTTAAGCAAAACTCTTCAACAACCTTTCATAAAATCTAGCATAAAAAAGTTAATTTTACGAATTACCATCAAAAGTTGATATAATAGGTTTTCAAGCTTCTAAATAGTATAAATTGGAATTCAACTATGACTATATTTATATTTCTATTAATACTTTATTGCCTATATATATATTTATAATAAATATATGTTTTATAATTTAATATAATAACTTGGTGGTGACTTTTTTTAGATTTCAATACAACTCAGTATTTTTATTACCATTTTCTTAACTTTCTTTACACATGATTGTTGGTTTGTGTGTTCAATCATCAAATTATCTTTTCAAGATGTATTAATTTTATTATTATGGTGGTTAAACTTTTTTACAATGCTATGTGCTTTAATATAATTTTTTTTTTTTTTTTTTTTTTTTTTCATGCTTCCGAAAGGTGTTTGTTACATATACCAACATCAACCAACAATAACCACGTAACAATGATTCCAATAAGAACAAGCTTATCCAAAACACACCGCAAGTGTGAAAAGAACTAGGACATGAGAATTAGACCTCAAAGAGTAAGTAGCCACCACGAAGCTTCAGTCGAAGCTTCAAAAGCAACCAATCGGAAGTAAGCTCCACGTCACTGAATTACATCCACGTCAACGGCTACGGGAACGCTTGTCGGGGTACGAACGAACGAACAGCATCCGAATACCGACAGATGTAAAAAAACGTATTCATCCACTAGTCTGGAATGCTGGAAAATAGGGGTTTTATGCATTGTCAGTGATGTCGGAGTAGTAGCAGTAGCACTAGGGTTGGTTGATTGCACGCACGCATTTTTCTTGCGTGACTAGAACGGTTCTGTTTCTGGATTCATTCACCTACAAATTCTGGTCGTAGTTGTCCACATCGCGGGGAGCTTTTCGAGCCGTTTTGGTGGTTTACTGTTCCAGGGTTTTAGTAGAATTTTACTCGTCTATTCAGCGTGACCTTGTAGCGGAGGAGTTTACGTCGCGATGGGGATGGCGTGTGGGAATCGGCTTGCATCCTCTCTGTTGCAAGAGAGTCTCATGACGGTGGCCTCGTCCGAAGCTAGAAGAAAGGATGCCAGGCGCGTCTCGTTGTCGTCGTCGCCGTCTCAGCTTCGTCAAAGTGCTTCTGGTGGCTTGAGACGGTGCCGAGTGCCTGCATTTGCCCTGGTGCGTCTCGTGGATCTTTACTCTGTAATTGTATGCTTTGGTTTTACGTTTGAACGGGATTGGATTGGCTGTGTGGAGTAGGAGTTTGACGAATTGACTGTGGTGCCAAAGAGCTTTGCACGGTTGGTGTGCATTGTGAAAGATTTCGCTGAGGTTTGGGATTGGTGGAGTGTGGGTGATAGTGTGAGTGGCGCTGATGGGCTTGAAATAGTTGTGGGAAGAATGTGAGCCAGCTTTCAGAGGTTGATATTAATCACTGTTACAATGTACCTTTTGGAAAGTGAAATTGGTTTCGGTTGAATTTTCTGGTTGTGTTCAGAATGAAGAAATTAATAGTTTGTTGGATATATTCGTAGCTTTGAGCTGTCTATTCTCGCTTTTTGCAAGTATCGAAAAACACTTTGGTATTTTTATTAGCTAGTTCAAACTAGAATGGAAAGTTCATTGTGAAAGAGGCACTGTTACTGTCTTTCAGGCTCCGCTAGAGCTGGATGGGTTACGTTAGGCATATATTAAATCAAATGTGTAGATGACAGGTACTCCTTTGAAGCGAAATAATTGCATGGGAGCTGTTTTACTGTAATCTTATGCTTTGAGCACTTATCGAATCCCCGACTCTGTTGTGATGCAATGTGTGAGGAGTTTTTTTCCTTGATGTGTGACCACGGTTGGCTTGGGAGTGTTTACCTGGAATTCGAATATACTTAGACGATTGAATGTGAGAACGGATCGCAGCAGGAAATTAGCCAATTCTGCGTCAATTGGTAGTAAATCCTTCACGGATGGGCGAATTGATAAGGGTTTTAGTATTTCAAGTTTCTTCTGGATAGAGCACACTATTTTGTTGGTTTTTACTTCTCTATCCAACATAATTTTTTATAAACTGACCATAGCGAGGCGAGCAGTTGTGGCAAGTCTCAGGTTAAAAAGCTTTGATCTGATATGATTATTATCAATCTTCCATAATTCACTTTGCTTTGCTGTACACTTCATTATTGCCCATTGGTACTGTATCTGGCTTTCTGACAACCATAGCTGTGATTGACCTGAATTTGGTGCTGATACGTGCAGATAGAGGACGATTCTAGGTCATCAGTTTCGCAGAATGCAACCTGCCATGTACGCGGGTCGAAAGTGCAGCCCTTGAATGCAGTAGCAGATGCCCTCAACCAAACCAGGTGCTTCTCACCGAAATTTGCACGCATCTGTGAGCATGTGGTTTTCTGACTGCCAATTTGCTTTGCTGACAAATTACTATGATTCTACATTGTTTGCGTCAAATTGATTTGCACAAGTTGAAGAGAAGGTACACACGATGCAACAGAATATTTAGTAGTGCCCACAAAGTTAAAGAGTGAATATCCAAGAGTTAATGAACTTAATGTCATGGAGGCAGCTCTCTTTTTATTCTAGCGTCCACCTCCGATATTGCCATACCAGGAGCTTGACCTCATGGTTCGTTGAAACGAGTGCAATTTGTGGTATAAATTAGAGAATCTGAAGAGAGTGAGCTAGTTAGTACTTTGTTAAGTTGAGATCTACCTTCTAACCTTCGCACCCAGGACAGTTTTTTTGCTTTCAACTAAGTTTTTGGATTTTGTGCAAGATAACAAGCTGAAAATTGGTTATGTATTTTCCACCACCAATGCATGTTTTTGTTTTTCTTATTTTCTATGATCAACCTATCAATGGTTCCCGATTAATTAATGCTCTGCTGCTGATGTATTATATAATGGTCTATTTAATGGACCTAAGTTATAATGTATGAACTGTTCTTCTTTGGGAAACTCGTTCTTTAATTGATCAGAATTCGAACAATGGAGATAAATGATGCAAGTTTTCCTCGGAAGTACAGAGCGACACAGCGCTAGGAACCAGAATTTACTATAATGAACAGTGAAGTTGGAAAGGTGAAGACACTTGCGGGCTCCTTTTGTTGGTTGCATCGGGAAAAAGTAGTCTCGGTGTGTGCAGTTCAACGTCATTCAATGTTCGTCCTGTGATTAATTTAGTTTCCGCGTCAGAACACTGTCAAGCTTCAAATATTGAGTTTCGAGTTCGTTGGCAGAAATGTTGACCAGGAATGAGAGTACCGACGGCATTAAACCTGACACCTGATTTCTTCCATAAATTCCTTCTTGTCGAATTAGAGTATTTTCGCATAATACCTCAGCGGCCCTACAAACGATGATTTTAATAGTCGAAATAGTAATGAGTACTCATTTGCGATGGGCTCAATACCAGCTGCATGACTATTCCACCTTCAACTGCGTGAAATTTACCCTATTTTTTTCCGGACGTTTCTAACATTTTGGATTGTGGGATTGGATGCCAGTGATTTGGATACGTTGCAAGGGATTGATTGGGACAACTTTGGATTTGGTCTGCGTCCTACTGATTTCATGTACGTAAAGAAGGGCGACATTGCGGGAAATTGGCAAGAGGGGGAGCTAGTACCATATGGGAATTTGGAAATCAGTCCATCTGCTGGAGTGTTAAATTATGGACAGGTGAGCTAGGCATGAATTATAGATGGTCATTAGAGAGGTACGGACGCTTGCAGTGTCTGTTTACTGTTGTGATGACACACGGACTTTAGCAACCCGGCGCTTTCTGGTTTAATGTTTGAAAACTTATGTTTTGTGTTTTACTTATTTGAGGTTTGCACTATTTTTTCTCTTTTTTCCTGAACAAATACATCTATGCTGGAATATCTGTCTTTTCTTTCTAGCAAGGGCGAGTGTTTTTTGAAACATCAACTAACACTTATTCATGTCCGTAGGATTGTTTATGTTTGAAGCAGTAGTCCACGAAATTGCAATGTTTTACCCGAGAGAAATTTATTCCCTGTGCGAATGTTGTCAACGGAAACAGGGTGTGTTTGAAGGCCTGAAGGCGTACAGGACAGCTGATGATAGCATATTAATGTTCCGTCCAGAGGAGAATGCTTTGCGCATGGTTCATGGGGCTGAGCGTATGAGTATGCCTGCTCCTGATGTTGACACATTCATCAATGCTGTAAAGCAAACTGTTCTGGCGAATAAACGTTGGGTATGTTCCCTAATTAGCTGATGTTGCAGAACATTCGCTTCAGCTCTCTTGGATTCGACTGTTTGTGTGGTTTCTCTAGAGAGTTTTCTCCACATGCTTAGATGTATATAGGAAGTGGTGTGATTCAGTTAGTTATCAAAACCGAACGGTATAGTTCCAAGGGATCATTGTGCATTTATTTGAGACTTGTTTGCCCAATTCTGTAATGGAATGTAGTTTTCAGTGTAAATTCTCTATTTTGGAAGACTAGGCGTATGTTGTTCAGCTAGTCTCCTAAGTTGATGATCTTTTTGAAATGGACATTCATTCTAGCAGTTATATCTCTATTTTTTGTCAATAGTGAATAAATGCAAAGGGGGTGTTTTAAAATCAGTGATATGCTAGCAAATGAAAGTTGGAATATCAACGTTGATGTGCTGGGTTTGATGCTCTTTTGACAGGTGCCCCCGACTGGAAAAGGATCACTTTACATCCGTCCCTTGCTTATTGGCACTGGTCCTATTTTGGGCTTAGCACCAGCTCCAGAGTATACCTTTCTCGTATATGTGTCTCCTGTCGGAACCTACTTCAAGGTTAGTGAATTGCAAATCACTTTTGGATTGTATGTGTTCAGTTTTTCAGTCAAGATGAGCTGCTCGTTTAGCTCTTCATGTGTCGTCCTGTATTTGTTCTCTTTCTTTCTTTCTTTCTTTCTTTCTTTCTTATTCTTTTTGTTTCTTTTCCTCCTTTTTGGAAATGGTGGTTTTCAACTCATCAATATCCATGCGGCTCATGCATTTGTGGCAGGGAGGGCTATCTCCTATTGACCTGAAAGTGGAAACTTATTTCCATCGTGCTGCTCCTGGTGGGACTGGGGGAGTTAAAACCATCTCCAATTATGCTCCAGTAAGCTGGATTGGACTTAAGAAATTCTATATTTATGGCTTTAAATGTTATGTCTCTGAGTACAAGTTGATAAGTGCATTCTGGATGTAAAATGTGCACCATAATTCATAGTATGATCATTGCAGGTGCTCAAGACTCAATATACAGCTAAAGGGAAAGGCTATTCAGATGTCGTATATTTAGACGCAAAAGAGAACAAGTATGTGGAGGAGGTTTCGTCTTGCAACATATTCGTGGTTAAGGTTTGTGAATTTTTACTACAAGTTTCTTGTATTTGAGTAGTTTGAACTTCACATCGGTAAATGATTTGACCAGCTCAGGTTCTTGCGGTTCTATGTGAATTTGGACTATGTTGTTTAGTGATTGTTTTTACCAAAACATATAACTGGAGAAAATGTCTTCTAAAAATAAATAAATAAGTAAATAAATAATGCTTTATAACTTGCGAATGGTCTTGTAGGACAAAGTGATCTCAACCCCGGAATTGGCTGGAACAATCCTGCCGGGAATTACAAGGAATAGCATTATTCAATTAGCTCGGAGTCGTGGTTATGAGGTATTTACTTCGTCATTTGTAGAAGCAGCTATTATGTTATTTGGTTTGCTTTCTACAGTAACATGCCCACGTGCCTTTTCAATCAAAATCTTTCATCTAGCTCGTGCTATCTGGGTTCCACCCTATTCCGTTGTATTATGGTTGACATGATGGTTGCTTAGAACAGAATGGCTATCTGTCTTTATAATATGAAACTAATTTTTGAAATTTGGTAGGTGAATGAGCGACCAGTATCCGTGGATGAGCTGCTAGCTGCTGATGAGGTGTTTTGCACTGGAACGGCTGTGGTTGTAAATCCTGTGGGCAGCGTCACTCACGGCACGAAGCGGTAACGACATTATTCACTCCTGTTGTTTCTTATTTCATTCACCATATAAGTCCCTGAATTGTGTTGATGTTGCCAATTTCTCTTACACTAGCCGTTAATGGTACTGCTTAGTTACTTTATTACTTTGTCTTTCTTGTCTTGCATAGCATTCTGTTAGTAAGGCAATTTAGTGCTGGTTCACTGTTTTTATATTTTCGACTATTTTGTTCCATTAAATAGGGTGCTGTATAATCACGGAGTTGTTGGAGGAGTATCGCAAGAGCTTTATGAAGCCCTAACATCCATACAAATGGGTGTATCCAAAGATGAGTTTGATTGGGTAGTAGAATTGGCGTAAAACTCATAAATCCACATATACCTGCTTTGGTTGCATGTGCCGTATTAAATTTCTTTTGTCTTCATTTTGAGGAAAATATAATACAAACGCTGATCGTACTTCAGCTCATGGACAGTTACATTGGCTCTATATTTCTGGAGTTTTATTTATTTATTTATTTATTTTTATATTTCAATCTAATCAATTATGATTTCCATTTACGCTTGTCCCTACATTCATTGAATGAGAGTCGCTGGTATAAGCCATGTGCAATTCTTATCGATTCTATCATATATTTTTCATATTTTAATTCCTCACATTTTAATATACTTTTCATACCTATTGATTTCATTACATTTGCTACTATTGTTTCCCGTTACAGATGCGCATTAGTGTTCAAATTCATTCACATGCTAGTTGCTTATCGTCTAACCTGTCGGATGCTGTGTAATACATGACAGGGAATCGTGCTTAATTTTCACTAGGAGAATGATTAGTGTTCTTTGGACAAGTCGATTGAAAATGTCCAATCTTTTTGTCTACCTTTTCAGATGTGGATTTATGCTGGAGACTTGGTTATCAGATCGTCTGGGGTACTTATTCTTTTCTCAACCTGGACTCTGTCCATTTTTAATTTCCATGTGCTGATCTTTTTTCTACTTATTTTAATTTTGTGGTAAATAGGTACAGCTATTATAGTTAGGATTTTGCAACTTTATGATAGGATTTTTCACTAACATAATATAGGGTCAATAGAATGTGGACTTGTGTTTATGCAAAAAAGAGGATTTAGGCCCCTTTTAAGCATGATGTGACATAATATAGATGATTGAGTCGCAACATCATTTTCTAATATGTGTGTGTGTATGTATATATATATATATATATATATATATATATATATTTATTTATTGAAGAATACATATGAAGATTAAATTAGGTTTGTATCAAGATTCACATTTTTTAATATCCCTTTGGAGGTCTGTGTATTCTAAATTTGATTTTTGGATTGCTGATATTCATCATTATAAAGTTAGCTAGAATGCCAAGCTTTGAACTTGAAATTTATTTAAGAATTTTTTAATCAATTCCTAAGAGTAGTATAATAAGTTGCAGCAAAGATTGTTGAGTTGGTAGACAAAGACTCCAACATCTTTGGATTGGAGTATCTTCAATTTTTTATTTCTTTTTTTCAACTTTTAACCAATTTTGTAATGTTAACCAATTTTGTATGTTAACAATTAAAGAAAAAGACAATTCTTCTTTTTTAATTAAGATACAATCCACCTTCGTTTCAGCTATCTTTATTCTTATTCCATTTTAAAGTCCAAGCTTCTTTGTTTATCTTTATTTTTCATTTCTTTCTCTTTTTCTTGGTTGATTATTTATACTTTCTTATTTTTTATTTTTTATTTTTTTTAATTCTTATTCTTATTCTTTTTCTTTTCTTTCAATCCTTTTGTACTTCAATACTTTTCCGTATCTAATTAGACTTTAACCTTTTAATTTGATTTCTTTATTATCCTTAATCAATGGCATTTACACCTTCAATATTTTAGTGTGCAAAAAACTGAAATCTCTTAATATTCTCCAATTTACATAATAATATAAGAATCACTAATCATCTTTTGACATACTTCTTTTATAAAAGTATACACTGAACATTTGCAACATCTCAAACCAAGAAAACATTCTTATTCAAAACTATTTTTTTAGTTTGTAAACACCTACAATTTTAAAGGTCCAAATAAAAGAAGCATGTGTATTCTTGTACAGACTTTGTGGATAATTTTATTATTTTTTTTTTGTTATTTTTTTGTTTTTACAATTTCTTTTTTCTTTTTTCTTTTTGTTAATTTTTTAAAGAAAATTAACGATTAAACCATTTTAACTTGTTGTAATTGGTACTATTATAAAAACAATAGGCGCATCTAACATCCATATTTCAAAAACTAATATAAATACATCACCATGTGAGAAGTCTTCATGGCAGCTTTATCTGAGAAGAAAATGTGCGTGTTAGTAAAACAGACACAAAAAACTGATCAAACTGAAAAAACGAAAAAAACGCAAGCACGAAACACATAAAATAAAATACTAATAATAATATTAGTATAAAATGTAACTCACTTTACAAGTTAAGAAAAGTGAAAACTTTTAAGAAAAAATCTTAACACGTTGTTTAAGGATCAAACAAACAGAAGCAAAGGCACAGTGAATAATTCACTTTTTTACATCCGCAAAGGAAGGAAACGGTGGAGTGTGGAAGGGGCCATGAAAGAAAAGGGGAACCCCAAATGAGTGATGTATATCAAGATGAGAGATGAGCGCACCTTGTGCCTCTCTTTGAGGCCACTTTTGTGTTGCAAGTTTTGAAGGTGCAAAGTGGGAGATATATGTTTGTCATTGTGAAGCCACTTTTTTTTTATTCTTATGTTTACATTATATATATATAAATATATATATATATATATATATATATATATTTTTTTTTTAACTGTGAGTGATGTGGGGGCTGCTTGTGGGGTGCATGTGAGTCCCTCTCATCACCTAGATTTTTGCATTTTTTGTGCCCGTTTCTGTGTTTCTGTGCCTTGTTGATGCTTCCGTCGGATGTGTTTTTTGCTGTTGGAGTTGCAGGGACGAGATTGCATGGTGCTGGTGTGTAGTATAGTGTTGTGTTGTGTGAGTTGTGTTGTTGAATTGCTTGCGTGTGGGTCACCTGCAGATTGTTGTCAGTGGTGAAAGCCAATTGTTGTGGCGGTGCTTGCTAGTTACCGAAGTTAGCACGCGGTGATTGTGTTCGGTCAGTGTGTTCGTTGTTTGATGAGTTGAGTGTTGTTTTTGGAGGTTTCAATTCAAGCTCATGGGCGGTAGTCATCTGGTCACCACCATGGAAAGGTTTTTGTCTGTATCATGTTCTAGACCACTTGGATAGAACTTAGAATGGTCCTGTCGTGGCCTCGCACTAATTTCAGCTCGAGGAAATGAGTCCTCATGCCATAACAAGATACTATCAGAAGATCATCCACAACATTCTTGAGTATTTCAACTTTGTGGTTGGGTTTTCTACTATGAGAATCTCGCGGCCAAGGTGGTTTTGGACGACCATTTCTGCGATTTTCTCATAGCAGATGAACTAGCCCCAGAAATTTTCGTCCAGTAGAGAAAGCAATCGAAGGTCAAGAAAAGCTGCTGAACAGGTATGAACCATTCTACGTTCTCTGAAAATTTTCGGAAGCGGAGCAGCCAGGTGTGGATCAACATACACTAATGAGTATTGCTTTGCCTTTCTTAACAAACGGTTTCTCTTGCAGTAATGGTTGGTGTGAACGTCGTTGCGATTCAAATGTTCATTCTATGCTAGAATGTTGACAGTCAGTGGAGAGTAATGTCAGAAAAGCTGGCTCCCAGTGGGAACAGCTGGTGTAAAATTGGTTGTTGTCGTAGGCGGTTGGCCTGTAGAATGGTCAGCGGGTTGAAAAATTGGTTACGATTGTAGTTTTTTTGCATTATACTGATAATCTTAAATCCGCCGCTTGTTGGGACATATCATATTCACAACAGCTGTGAAGAATGAGCGAGGAATCATTCCTCTTTGTCCATTTTGCATTCAAGACAGCCCAAACTGTTCCGTCTCACCCCCGTCCCGGTAGCCTCTTTACTCACCTCAGGATTTTCATATTAGACCCGATGTCGCTAAGAAACAGGAATATGCATAAAGACGCAGATATTTACGCAGATGAATATATATTCGGAGACCGAGACATTTTTTCTAACATAGACCGAGGAATCGGCAAGGGTAAGTTCAAAGTTGGGCGAGCATGTCCAAAGGTTGATGAGAAGTTGATAGAGGATGAGTCGATAGACGTCCCTTTGAAGCTGCTGCATGAAGGAGAGGGTCACGGAGTCACTGTGGAGCTTAAGAACGGCGATGTATGTCGGGGCAAGCTCATTGAATCCGAAAATAATTGGACTCTCCAACTTGATACCGCCAATTTCGTCTTTAGGAAGGTATAGGCTAAAATTGCCCTCCATAATTGCCATACTATTGTGCAGATTTCTCCTCGCAAGTGCACGCCAGCAACAATCTTATTCATTGCTTCTTATTGAGACGCTAGATTGTTTAACATCTTCGGGGTCATTTGCTCCTCAATCGACCTCCTGCCGCTGTGCATAAACTCATCGATGCTGATCAGAATCATTTATTGGAAGCACCAGGACCCGTTTCCTATGCATGTAAATATACTGAGAGGTTGATAAACGTTGGCTTTCTATCATGGGTAGACACAGGGGCATTCCTTGCTCTAGATGATTCCGCTGTGATTCAAGTGCTGGTTTGATGCGGGACAGACTCGGCACAAGATATTCTCGAGGACTGGCAAAGAAGTGAAGTTGGACTCCATTTTCATTCGTGGTAGAAGAATAAAGTTAGTTCTCTTTCAACCAATGTTCTTTAAGGATATAAATGTTGGATACTTCTGGATTAGGAGTTCCACATTGTCGTCCATGTTAAAACAATGTGATGTAAATGGCAGGTTCATCGTCTTTCCACACATGCTTCAGTATTCATTCCCTTTCAAGTCGTCAAACTCAATAACTAAGGCACGATTCACTCCCAAAGGATGCAAGATTGGTTGAATTTGCATACGAACGTGCGCACGCAGGATTAAAATAGAGTGTAACGTGTGTGCATGATTTGCAGGGGGTAACAGAGGAAGATCTGATATTTAATCTAAGACTCCTTCACCTTACGAATTATTCTCAGAAAATGGCATTGGATCAGGGCCAATACCACATGTGACAATGCTACCATTGGATTATCTTAGTACAACCTCAATCTGATGTGACGTCTGAAGCACACAATATCTCGAGGTACATGTAGTATAGACCCTTAAAACGAACCAAAGTAGCTTGGTCAGTCTCATAGGATCAGATTACAAATTTTAATCTTGCACAATTTTGGAGGAGTCAATGCGAGGAGGTAAATCTCCAACCCTTGACAGTGACAGATGTGCATAAGTTTAGGAACACTTATGAGAGGATATCCTTGAAAACTATGTTACAATCAGGATTCGGAATAGAAAAACAGAGTGCAAGAGTACCATGTTACACCTAGTCACAATAAGTACGAAGTCAAAACCAGCACCCGATTTGAAGAATCAGAATGGCACAAACAAACCACCTTCACAGCAGACTCGAGAACTCTATTGTCTTATCTTAATCGAACTCCAAATGCTGAAAGAGACATAAGCGAAGGAACCGTAAGAGTCCGGCCACTCATTGGACTCCAAACCCTAAACAACGACATCAGACTGACGCGCAAATCATGTTAAGCGGCCTACACGGTAAATGTAATAGAATAAATTCGGGGGAGGCAAAGGTGAATCATCATCTACCAAGACCCACTGACACACGCACAACAGCAGTCAGAAAGAAAGACGGTCAACCTTCAAAGTTGCACTGAAAAAAACACCATCAATCTCGACCTATACCAAAATCTATTCACGCAAGCTATCGACGCATTGAGTACACTGGGAGAAGGAGTCACTCAACATCAAAACGGACAATTTCCCGGCGTCGGGCTCTCAAGTAGAGCGGAGTATCAGTGGAATATGTAGAGTGTCGAACGACATGGCAGGAGGAAGGATTAATTAGGCTTAGGGTTTCGGAGCAGGACCTTGTCACCGCCACCACTAAACGAACGATCGTTCACCTATGGGAGCAATTTTCTGTTCGTTTTCTTGCAACTGCGTTTCTGTCAATTTTGCAGATGGAATGGATGGATGTGGATGAGAAATCTATTCTCCTCGTTTTGTGAAATTTTGTGAAATTTTGCAGAAGTGCTCTTGATCTAGAGGAATATTCTAAACAGAACTTAAGGTTGAGGAAAAGAATTACCACTTTAATAATAATAGTCAAAATTATAATTAAATTATAATAAAATAAATAAACAAGACACATAATTAAACAAAACTTTATAGAGTGATTTTTGTTTGATTACTTTCACAAAATAATTCAAAACAAATTGTGATCATACATGTATGTAAGTATACGATTATTTTTAGATAATAATATTACATATTTTTTTCTTCTCTCTCAATTATAAAATGTATATTGCACAAATTTGAATTGCAAAAATTTACAATTTATATTATTCAAAAATAAATAGTAACAAGTTTGATTGTAGTAATAATTAATATTCAAAATTTGATGTAATTAGTTGAATTATATATATATATATATATATATATGTGTGTGTGTGTGTGGGTGTGTATGTTGAAATAATTAAATTAAGATAATTTTTTAAAACTAAGACTTCCATATAAATATTAATGTACAAAATACTGCTGGCATATATTTTGTCAAAACTGACGTACAACCAATCATTGAATTCTTCTTAATCTTTTGCTTTGGCTTTTATACTTCCAAGAGAAGAAATTGCTTCCATTATCTGTAGCTAATGTAATGTGGATATTATGATTGAAGTTGTGTATGTATCTAGGTACATTGGATTGTTATACAAGGATTCAAAAATCTGGCAAAAATTCTAATAATTAGCTAAAATTCTTAGAGATCATGTTTTCTATTTTCACATTATAAAATATAAGAAAATGATTATGTAAGGAGTTACAAAGCTCATCTTTATTACAATTTCCATTAAAAAAATAATATATATTGTATCACTCCAATTTGCAAGCAACTGCAACAACTTAAAAGTTAAAAACCACTAAATCCTACCTTAGTAAATTATTTTAGCCCTAAGCTACATCTTTTTCATAACGTTCTATAGACAAAGTTCTTCTAAAATTTCTAAATACCTTAACAATAAAAAAAAAAATTATAAAAAGTAAACTATTATATATGAGTGGGAGAAAAATAAGAATATAATAATGATAATTAATGAGTCTAAATACCTTCTATTTGTAAGTAAATTATAGGTCCTCAAAAAATTAAAAATAATTTTTTTATATATTAAAGCATTAGTTCTATCAAATGATCACTTTAATTTTGGATTAAGATTTTAGACTTTAGAATTTAAATATTAAGTATTTCTAATTACAATGATATTATGGAGATTATTATTTCATTTTTATTTTTATTATTTTTTCCTTTTGAAAGTTTTATGGTGACTTACATTTTTATTTTTAAAATTGCTAATTCTTAAGGTCCAACCAAAATGGCCTGCAAATGCTCTAATTCTCGGAATTAGAAAGTTTGATTTTAATATTGATTGCAACTTTGTGGTTAATTTTTTGTTTGATATTTAAATTGGCTATAATATTTATTTTTATTTTATATTATATATATATCAATATATATGCATGTATTATAAATCAGTAAAATAAATAATTAATAAGATTTTAACTTAAATTTTTCAACTTTGAATTTTAATGCTGAAATTATTGCTTTTACTTGTTATTGTCATTTAATTTTAGATTATTTAATGACATAATAAATTCTACCAATATAATATTTGAGTAATGTTTTTTAATATCATATATGATTATTCTTTTAAAATCTATTATTCTATTATGGAGTTTTTATTAAGAATTATTAAAAAAAATAAAGTTAAAGAAACTTTTTTGTAGATCATCTCACTTTTAGTTATGACAAAAAAATGTCAGATATTTTTTAAAGCCTTTTTATATATTTTAAGAAATTATCTTATTTTATATTTTTTGATGGTAAAAATACTCTACATTTTGCCACTCTATGTATTTAATTGACAAATAAAAGTTAAAATAGTTTAAATATAAATTAAAAGCACTATTGCATTTTTATTGCTATAATATTCTTCTTTTAATATCCAAAAGTAGGGCTTAAAATCTTTTAGAAGATTTTTAATACAAATATTGTATGTATTATAAGTAAATTATAATATTCATTTAATGCCTTCAAGTTCTAGAAGGTCAAAAATTCTCTAAAACTAACAAATTTCTTCATGTATTTTTATATGATAAACTGTCAAGGACAAGAACTTGATAAAGATAAATAAATAAGAGAGACTTATCTCATAGAAAGATGACAAAATAGAAATAACTCAATATGTATATTAAGAAAGAAATTGGAATAGATATTGCCAAAAGACAAGAAAACTAGAGACCCTTGAAACTAGACTAGAAGCAAGAAAGGAGTTGACAAGAATAAAGAAGGCTTCACTCTTGTCTCTATATATACTATTTAACTAGGGGCTACGTGGTGATATTCTATAGGACCTTCAATATGTGTTGACTTTGTAGGACAGATGCCTTGACTTATAAGGGAAGTTTTTTTACATATGGGCCATATAGTTAGCTTGGTCTTCAAGCTAACAACATGTGTGGTACATGGCCAACTTGTTGACTACGTTTCTAATCCAAAAAATCAATTAAAGACACCTATAAAGTCAAAGCAATGTCTATTAAGCTTCTAGTAAGCTTTCATAGCAAATATTATAGAATTAACTTATTTTTATCTACTTTTACTTACTTCTATCCATTTATACATGTAATTACTAGCTTACATGCGTATATCCGTGACATTACCCTTTCTTCTAGGGACAAGTTCTACGAGGAGCGGTCATCATATGTTGAAGAAATCTATGATGCTACAAATTGTATTTGCCACATACTTTTATCTTTGTTCTCTTTGAAGATGATTGATAGGGCCTCTCAACCATCAATAATATCCCATACCAAGGTGGAAAGACCATCCAATTATTTGATCATTGTTGAGGCCTTCATAACTTCCTTTGAATAAAATATTTGAAATACCATCAGGAGTTGTTCCTATCTCTAGTAAAATCACCAAACATAGAAAGTCCTTTCTAAGGTCGTGATACCAAACGCATTGTAACTTGTCATGTATTCAAGGAAGAACATGTCGTTCTTGAAGATCATCATCTCGATTGCATTGTCTTGAAGGTTGTGACAATCATAATATCTTGTTCAGTAAGTCAGCAAACAAAGGCTCTTGAGTCGAATCTGTTGATTGTTGGTTTTTCATCTGCTCAGCATCATAACTACAAAGTAGAATGTTATCTTGTCTAGATCTTGTTTCTTTTATAAGGAAGGTTTTCATCTTGATTTTGATAGATGTTGTCGATGAAAAGCCTCCACCGCCTTTGTTGCATTTTCAAGATTCTTTACTGGCTTCCATGTGCATTCACTAATATCATATCGATACCAATGGACAAGATATTCCAATTTATTTCGGCATCGCCTTGAATCTAAGACTTCTTTCACTTTGAACTCTTCATTATTGTCTACTTCTATAAGAGAAGGTGGAGCTTGTCTTCTTCTTGGTATGTCCACAATCTTATATGGTTCAAGAAGAGATACGTGGAATACTAGATGGATTTTCATTGACTCTAGTAGGTATAAACAATATGCAACTAAATTGATTTATATAGAAATAGAAAATGATCCAAGCCATTGATAGTCCAACTTCTCACAAAGACAAGTGATCTTGATATTGTGACAAAGTAACCATACCTTGTCACCCATGTGGAATGGTGGTTGCTCCTTTTGATAGACATCCGCATTGATCTTTTGTTGTTCTTGAGCTTCTTTTAACTGTGCCTTCATCGTTGCATGTAGCTCTGACAAATGAATTGCTAAATCTTTTGTCACAAGATTATCAACTTTTGAAAAGTCAAAAGTATCAAGTCGTAGATGATAACCATAATTGACAAAGAAAGGTGTTTATTTTGTAGAAGAATGTACCGTTTTATTGTAAGCAAACTCTACCAATGGCAAAAGAATTGTCTAATCATCTCATTGGTAGTTGATGGTACATCTTAAATACTGCTCCAAAACTTAATTAACAGGCATCGTTTGTCCATCAGTTTAAGGATGGAATGTCAAAGATAGTTTTATATCCACTTTTAGAATCTTGAAAAGAGTTTGCCAAAATCTTCATATAAATTGAGTTCTCCTATCTGATATAATATCTTTGAATAATCCATGATAGTGATAGATATTGTCAAGAAAGAGCTTAGCTATTTCTTCACCTGTGATGGATTTTGTACATGGTACAAAATGTGCCATCTTGGTAAAATGATCTACTATCACAAAAATAGAGTCATAAGAACTTGAGATTAGAAGATCTATGATGAAATCCATAGAAATAAAAGA